ATTTTTAAGCAAGTTAGAATTTTAGGCATTCCTCCAAATTGGCCAGCTCTCCCAGCACCGAAACCAAGGCAAGCTTGCACCCTCTTTCATTTATTGCTATCTGCCAACACTCCCTAGAGGGGAAACTGAGGTAACTAGCCCTTCTGCTCACTATGGCCATCGGCTATAAGCATCCAGAGAAAGAACTGGGCCTATTCTCCTCTTCTCCTATTTGATTCTTTGCCGAAACAGCAACTCTCCTTATTATTAGTCTAGAATCAGAAAATCATAGGTAGAGTAGCAAGAGTTCACAAGAAGAATACCTAAAGCTCTCAGGCGGAAGAGAAAAAAGGGATTTTGAGATGACATCTAAAAAAACTAATAGCTTCCTCATGTTTCTATGATAATATTTTCCATATTATTCCGCAAATTTAAGATTATTCACTGTGTTTTGCCAATCATTAGTGTGCAGTTACCTATTTACCCATGGTGGGCTTTCTCATTTAATTATTTTATTAACTTGGTAAGAAGCCCTAAACTATAAGGAAGCCTTTTTTTTTTCCAGTGAAACTATAAGGAAGCCTTCTTTGATCTAATTATATTACTTTAGGTAATATTAGGTTGAGATGCATGCATCTCTCAAACATAGTGTAAATAGGTGATACAATATTACAAATCCGCACCTAAAGACTCCCTCAAATCCACTTAAAATATTTTGGACATCAATTCTATCCGGGTGATTTTGGATCAAGTTTGGTATCAAATCATTGTTCTTGTATGATAAAGGGATTAAATTTCAAAATAATCCCTCAACCATTCATATATGGACATTTTAATCCCAAAGTAATGTTGCTCTAATTTAGTCCCTCAACTATACAAATTTAATCTAAAATGATCCTTTAGAGACTAAATGAGGATCAATTTTGTAAAGTCGAGAGACAAACAAAAATGGGATCTATTTTTTATCACAATTACAGCATGAGGGATTATTTTTATTCAATTTAGTATAGTTGAGGGACTAATTGGGGTAGCATGATATTATGAGACTAAATTGCCCATACACAAATAGTTTGAGGATTATTTTGGGATTTTTTATATAATAAAGTGAGTAAAATAGAATGATAAACCAATACAACCTTTAACAACCACGAAACCATAGAGGTAAAGGAACTAATAACCATGAGAGGAGATATCAATGTAACAAACTAGATTGATGTTAGATTTACAATAATTTAAAAAGTATTCACAACATGATGGAACAAATGGCTCAACAACAAGCATCAATGTCTCAAAAACAAAGAGAAGATTCTTCCACTAACCATGACAGAGGCCCTCAAATTCCTATGGGCAATGATGAAGAATGGAAAGAAAAGCCAAAAGATGAAAGAGACTAACCACTACTTAGACACTCACCTCCTTTCAAGGTGGATGGAAAACTAGAGTTATCAACCTTCAAGGGAATAATGGATGGTGATGTGGTTAACAATTAGTTAAAAATCATCAACTAGTACTTCCCCTTTTGCATGCACATTAGCACAAGAAAATTCATTTTTTCGATAGAAAATGTCAGTCCAAGAACTTACCTGTTAGAATTCAACATCCTTATATCATGACAAGAATGGCATGGACACGATTTAAAAGACAATTGAAATTCAAATTTTATCCCATCATTTGTGAAAAGAACAAATGGATCTTATGGGAAAAACTAAGAGATAGAGATATGAAAAGTCAATTCAATAGTACCATGGTTTAAAATTGCGCAATAAGAGGCGCGCCTCAGCACAATTTTAAACTTTTAAGCCTCAAAGCCTACACAATGAGAGCTAGCATTGAGGCGTACACCTCAAGTTCACTGAGGCACACCTTGAGGCCCGCCTAGCCTCATGTTTTAGAGTCGTCTGCTTCTTAAAATAAAAAAACCCTAACCTAATATATATCTATTCGGATCGGCCCACACCCCCGTGCGTCTTTGGTCATTCCGAACCAAAACTAGGTTTATTCTCCCTTCTTCTTCGAGCAACATTTTCCCCTCTTCCTGAGTTCCTTCCATTCGACTAGCATCGGCTTCCTTCCAACGTGAGTTGCTCTTCGCCTATTGCTTGGAGTTCTCGTCTACCGCGAGTTGGGCTAGAGTCTCCTTCGACCGATCGTTGAATGCTCTTCTTCTTCGTGGTTCCATCTATCACCTTATTGTGAAATACAAGATCAGACCGTTCTTCCATAAGGACCTCCATATTCTGCTTAGGAAGATTCCGCAATCGATCTGTCTGCTCGGTATCACTCGGTATCATTAGGTACATGCTTGGTACCACTAAGTACATGCTCGGTACCGCTCGGTCCATGCTCGGTACCGCTTGATACATGCTCAGTACCGCTCGATATTTTTCCATACAAATGACTTACGAACTTTAAAAATAAACAGAACTTCAAAATTACTTCAAACAATAAAAATTTGTTCCGAGGGCACTGGCCCCAGAAATCCCCGCAAGGGCGCTGTCCCTTGACCCCGTGAACTAGGTCGAACCCTGCCAGGGGCAACTCCCCCCTGGACCCCCTGTTGACCGGCATATTGTTATATTCATCATCTTTAGTAATAATTGTTAGTGTTAGTATGCTTATCCATGAGTGCATGCTTTGTATTGTTCATGAACAACATCGTACCTCAACATGAAGCTTGATAAAAGTACAATTCATGTTCGATAGAGAGTACGTAACTAAGCAGGTTAAAAACTTGATTAATGTTTGATTCTAAAAATGAACATACCTATTATAAATATTTTATATTTATCATAATTTAATGATATGGTAAGTATAAATAATAAATTTTAAAATTAGATAAATATTATAGTATATATTAATTAAAATAAATCATAAATATCTTGCATAATTTAATTACAATTATTTTTTATTTTATAATATTATTTAGTTGTATGTGATAAAATAGAAGAGAGGCACATGCTTGTTTGTGAAATATTTGTGAATGTGCTTATTTGATTATTTAAACCCTCTCGTTAGAGTAGCTTGAAAATAACAGCTAGATATGTTCGTGAACATTCTCATTTGGTAATTCGAAAACACTCATTAGACATGTTCACAAACAGGTTTGAGGCAATTTCTTGTTAGTAGCTCGATAACGTTCGTTTGTTAAGTTAATGAATATCTAGAAGTAGAGCTCATTAATAGCTCGATAAAGCTCATTTGTTAAAAGCATGATAAGCACAAAATGAACCAAATATGAATCAAACACAAATTAAACATGAGCATCCATTAATTTAAACGAGTCAAGCTCGAACACGAACAAGAAAACTAAAATTGAGCTCGAACCGAGCTTGAACAAGTGAAAATAAACTAACTCAAACATGAACAAGCACCTTCTTGATTCTGCTCGATACATTTGCAACCCTAGATGAAGACCCCATTGTAGTCATTGCTACTACTGGAGCCATTAAATAGTTAATCTTTAAAAATTACAAACTAAAAAGAGGATAAAACAAGGAAGTCAAGAAAACTCATACTAATACAAAAGGGACATTATCATAAAAAATATAATACTAAGTAGAAAAAACCAAAAGTTGTGTTAATAGCTATAAATACTAATAAGTTGTGATATGACATTTACAAGCTCAACGTAATGGTTAAGAATCATTAGTGAAAGATGATTACTAGCAAAATGTAATAGTTAGAATTTTTTCTATATAGGTTTAATCAAAATTATTGGAATTGCCAATCAAACATCACCCTGAGGTGTATTAGGACTCTTTTCTTTTAATGCTATTGCTATGTGCATCTTTCAAAAAAAAAGGGTTAGTAAGAGCCAATGATTCCAATAGGAATAACCACTTGCTATAAATCACCCATTCAAAATAAACAAGGGTTTAACATTAACAATATAATTGGATTTAAAAACTTATAAGCGTGATGTGGATAACTTCATTCTCAACCGTTGATTGATAAGCCATGGCTATCATATGATGATTTTCTTGTTAGGCCATTGTTTCCCTCATCCAATGAACTTCTCAAAGAGCAGAATTGGGTAAATTAGAATGCATTTGTATCCTAGAAATCTCCTGTTTCTTTGTTAAGTCGACCCTAAAATTTTTTGCTATGGATATGGAGAAACTAATTTCACAAGGAGAATAGGTCTCATTTGGATAAAATCCATCTGACAAGTGCAATGTGAAGCATGTTTTAGATGGTTTGTGAAACAGACGACTAAATTGCAGCATATAAAACCATACCTTCTCAATACAAATTTCAGTTCATGCACTGCTTAAGATATTCATATCGATGAACAGTTCATATCATATAAGAAACTTAAATAAGTGGGCATTGAATACTTTTAGTAGAAGCAAAAGATGTCATGATGGCAACAGTTACTGCAAGACAAAACAGCAAGTGAGTTCCGTGGAAGTAGGAGGAACTTCGATCCATCGTCCTTTCAATGTCTTGATTAAAAACCAAAACATGCATTAGAAACCACAATAACCGTGTTCATACCCTCAATCAATGACCCCCACTTTTACGTTCACTAAAAATTAATCTATTATGGGAAGTTATACAGTTAGCTCCGTTTGGAACATGGAGCCCTGATTCCTTGTAACTAGCCAAAAGGTAGCAATTGGCAATATACAAACAATTTATAAAAGAGGGTATAGACCTTTGCAGCAAATTATGCATACTTAAACAAGCAAAGCACAAGCAGAAATCCATACATATTCCCAAAAGCAGAAAGAAAACCAGCTAAAAATAATAATAATAATAAACACACACAATAAAAAGCCAAGCGCGGCCTATCCCGCGAATATAAATCCCCAGCAAAGGCCAGCAATGTGGAAGCAAAGAATCAGAAAGGGCAGGAAACAGAGAAGAGTAAGACCATCAAAATTCGTCAAAAAATTAAAAATAAATTTTAAAAATACAAATAAAAGGACCAGAAACAGATCTTGAATCAGAAAGCATAATCAAATATATCTATCCTACTCGGCATAGACCAATTAGGAAGGTTGGGAAGAGGAGCCTACCTTCCAGCTGATGTAGACGGAGTACTCGAACTTAATTACAGCATAGCGAAGCCAAGTCGAAAAGGCAACCATTGCAGGTTCGCAATTTTGCCGTCTGCTTAGCTTAAAACTACCCGACGCACCGCGGGGCGTCCTGCAACAGTTTCGCGATATGCTTTTCAAGCGCATAAGTATTTGCGAGAAGTTGAAAACGAGATAACATAACTTTGTACAGAAAAATCAAATTCGTTTAAGCAGATTTCATACATACCACAAAACGAAATCAAATCACTCACGAGAACCTAATAATTTACATTCCTCAAGCACCTCTCCTGCTCTCCTACGTAGCCAGTGATGGTTCTTTCCCAAATTCTTAGCCTCTTCGTCTCATATAGATTAGAGCTGACAGGAATTGGTGAGTACATTGAGATTACAGAAAATTAAATTATCTGAGAGCATATAATGATTAGAGATTTAGAAGATTAAATTTTATTTTTATTATTTATTTATAGAATTAAATGGGCTATAAAGAAATTATATATAAAAGAAAATGTAAAAATAATACGTGATATAATTATTATAGATTGGCAAAAACACCTAAACTATATCATATATACCTGGATCTCTTCTTTGACTTGCCCCCCTCCTCCTAGATGAGTATATTGTATGAGTCTTCGAGGGTGAGTGTCTTAGACAAGTTTTCAGGATTTGAGTCACTTGATAAGCATATGTGGGCGAGTCCATAAGAAACAGAATCAAGTTTTTTATAGGGATAAGCATCAAGTCCTTAGGAGTAAGTAATGTGTCCTCTAGATAGTGGTAGCTGCAAGGTAGGGATGAATCTAGCTATTGAAGTCATAGCTATTGTTTTGAAAAATATGTGCTTCATATAGTTAGAGCAAGCACGTCTGCAGTAGGTGAATGGCTTTGATCGCAAATAGTTGTTGCATAAGCAAATTTGGTTTAGGAGAGGGATCCTCAAGATGTGGATTTGTTTAGGCGAGTCCTTGGAGGAGCTCACAGAAAATGATTGTACCATTGATTTGTTTTTCCATGACAATTATGCATGTTGCATATATAAAGGGAGAATGGCTATTCGGCCATAGGTTGATGTCGTTATTGCTTTACAGGGTTGCACGCCCTTTTAGGCAAATGTTATTTTTACCTTGTAACCCTCTTAATCAAGTTCCTTGATGGGAACCGCTAGATAATTGAGGTTACCTACATAGACATGTATGAATATATAATTAGCTCCCTAATTCAATTGCTCATTTGAAAATGTGAGTTTTTTTTTTAAGAAAATGCCAATAGCATTAGAAGAAAAGAAGAAAATACCTGCATACAAACTACTAGGTGATAAAATTGCTATCACCCTCCCCCTTCAATAAGGAAATGAATGTAGGAGGAATCTTATTACAAGATAGATTATCCCAATAAAAATCACCTTCTATTGCTAAGTTAGCACAGTAATCTGCTAACTTATTACAATTTCTATATGTAAAATGGAATATAAATAAACCAAAATCTTTAAGGAATGACATGTCTTCAAATTCACCTTTGTTTTTCTTCCAATATGCTCTTTCAACCGAAGTTTGAAGATATTTAATGACATTTAAATTATCTCCCTCTATTATTAATCCTTTAGCTTCCATCATCCATTCTTTAATAACCACCTTCAAGTATTGAAAAGTAGCAAGTTCAAGAACTCCAATATCCCAATGAATGCATTTCAACCCAAAAGCTGAAAAAAACCTTCCCTTGTGATCTCTAAATACATCACCAATACCTGCTTCATAGGAATGTAAAAGAGCTGGGTCAATATTTACTTTAATCCAATTCGGAGAAAGAGGGTGCCAAGAAGAACAAGTCAGCTGAAGCTGGTTAACACCCCAGAGATCTGAAATCAGATTAAACTTTAAAGCATTAGAGGCTATGCTGATAGCATTAGATGCAATGAATCCCAATCTGAAATCTTCATCTCCATCCTTTAATCGATTCCTGGTTTTCCAAGAAACATACACCATTGAACAATATAAATTCCCAATAAACTGATTGCCTCCCGATAAAGCTTCGAGCTCTGTTATACAATCACTAAACAAAGAAACCGTTGGTACATTGAATCCCCATTCATTCAACTTTGTTGTAACCATATGAATCAAAGAACAATTTGGTACCAAATGATTAATATTTTCTACTTCCAAACAACCCATAGGAATTTTGGGAAGACATCGCTTTGGAATTTTGGGCAGACACCGCTTTGACTTCAAATACCTCATTGAGGTAGCTAGAGAGAGAGACTCTGAGGAAATTCATGTTTCGTCATTGGAATTCAAAAATTTAAATTCGCGGTTTTTCCGTTCGAATGAATGGCTTCGGAGGGTCGCCGGCCACCTTCGGTCGGTGGTCCGGTAGATGTTCGTCGGGTACTTATTGGAGGTTTTGATGTTCCAGGCAAGGCATTCTCGTCATTTCCGCCGGCGTTTGGAGATGGGAAACCTGGATTTGTTCAAGCATTGAAGCATACAGAGCTGGTATGCCGTTAATTATTAATGATGGTGGATTGTTAGCCTCGTCTAAGAAATTTCCTGAAGTCATTGGCAAAGGGAAAGATTTTATGGTTGAAGAATCAGCTAATTTTCATTTTAAGAATGAAAGTTTTTTTGTTTTGATGAATAATGGAAATGGTTCTCCTTATGGAAAGTCGGTATTTAAAAACAATGGGGAGAACAATTCGAAGGTGGAGAAAGCTACTGGAATGCAAGATATTGTTGTTGAAGATATCAGAATGAATACTTCAGGTAAGCAAGGAACACAGGATTCTGTAGGGTGTTCTGTTGAAAAAGCAACTACAAGGAATTCTGAGAATGGAATGCTGAATAACTCTAATTTAATTAGAGTTCGAGATTGTAATCCTGGAGAATTGGGAATGTGTAAGGAGGTTATGAATGAGGTTAATGCTAGACCAATTCCATTTACCCAGCAAAATGTGTGGAGTAAGAAGGAATACATTAAGGTTCATAACCTGGACCTAGGAGAATTTTTTGTTGCGGATCTGATTTTATGGATTAGATTTTGATGATAGCAAACACTCATGATTCTCTACGACTACTTTGCCTACTAACTTTTTAGGTCCATAAGATCAGTGCAACTCAAGCTAGCTCAAGTTTGGATAGTTTAAGTCTAAGTCAATATGTATTTTTTTCTTTCTTGAGTTGATTGTAATCAATGTGGTTCCTAATACCAAGTAACCTTGCACACACACACCTTGGGAGATTTTTTGACTATTTCTTAGAGCTTTTTAATTTTGGTAACATTGTCCGGGACGATCCATAAATCGTCCTGGATGATTGGTTCAAAAAAAGAAACCCTAATTAGGGCATCCCAAGTTAAGGCAGCCATCTTTTTTCACATCATCCTGGATGATTTTGTATCGTCCGGGACGATAGGCTCAAACAGAAAGAATCAGCCACCATATCTATTTAGGAATTAGTTATTTTTGGACATAGTACAAGACATCATGAAGGACGATCCAGCTCATTTTTTCTTAAATTAATCTGGTATTTAAGGAAAGCAATGAAGACTTGATTGCACGATTAAATCATCCTGGATGATCGCAGGATCTGCCGAGATGATACGCTGGACAATTAGACATCGAACAACTCTTTTTCAGGGCGATGTTCAGGATGATATGAAAAATTTTCTTCTGATCGTCTCAAATCGTCCCGGCTAATTGGGCTTAAATTGCACTTATCGTATAAGATGATCGTAACATCGTCCTGGATGATAAAGTTGGCAAGTTGCAATTAATGAGCTCATTTTGATCTCTTCTATTTAAACTTTGACAAGACACTTAGTATGTATTTTTAGCATCCATTGAGGCTTCATTCTTTTGGAGGGAACTTGAAGAGAGAGCTTGAAAGGGAGATAAGAAAGGAAAGAGTTTGAGAGAGGGAGAAGATCCTTGGAGGGGGTTTCAAGGGAGTGTGGAGGGGGGTTCCACACGGTTGCTCCAGCAAGCTTGCACCTTAGTACAATCGGATTCAAGGCTTATCTTGAGGGAAGTTCTAGGAATAAGAAGTTCTCTTTAGTGTCAAAGAACCTGGCTACTCCGCCTCACCGGGGAAGGTGGAAGTGATTTTGTAAAGGGCTTCTCCGCTTAGCTGTGTGGGTTAAAGGAGAGACAGTTAGTTTAGTGTAATACTCGGAGGGTGCCTCTGAGGAGTTGACATAGGTCAAAGTTTGACCGAACAACTATAAATCTGGTGTGTTCTTTTCTTTATTATTTTCGCATTTAATTTCCGCATTGTATTTTCTTTGTGGTCAATTTGGTTTGGTTTGAGTTTTGATTTAAAAATATTTCAAATACCAATTCATCTCTCTCTTGGTTAGCCTTGGGACTAGTTTATAGGGGGTCTAACATCCCTAGCAAAATTTTAAGTGATATCAGAGCGGTATTTATAAAAATAAAGTTTGAAAACTTTTTAAATTTTGATCCATGGATAATTTTAGTAATCATAATATTACGGAAGGTTATTCAATCACTAGACCACCTTTGTTTGGAAATATTATATTTGATTTTTTGGAAAATTTGTATGTCTACCTTGTTGCAAACAATTGATTTTTGAATGTGGAAAAATGATTTTAACTGGTTATTCTGTACCATCACGTATTTTAGATGAAATTAAGACTGATATTCCTTTTAATCAATGGAATATGGATGAACGAATCGATACTCAATTGAATGCAAAATCTTTAAACTATTTTTATGTGCTTTAAATTCTAATGATTTTATGTTGGCTTCCACGTACACTACTAGTAAGGAAATTTTGGATAAATTACACACCATATACGAAGGCACTAGTGAAATCAAGCAATCCAAGTTGAATATTATAATGCATGAATATAAACTTTTTGCATAAAACCTTATGAGACTATCTTAGGCATGTATACTAGATTTATTTAAATTGTTACATCATTACATGCTTTAGGAAAGGAGTTTTCTAACTTTGAAAAAGTCAATAAAATTCTTCGTTGTCTACTTGATATGTTTGATGCCAAAGTTGTTGTTATTTGTGATTTAAAAAATTTGATTGAATATTCTATTGATAATTTAATTGGCTCACTCATTGCCTTCGAACAAAGTTTGGGTCAAAGACTTTTTTGATGCAGGTGAAACGATAGTACTAAAAGCTGAAGACATGGAGAAAAGTGGCTTAATAGATGATAAAAGTGATGAGTTAGAAATCCTACTAAAGCACAAGCATAAGCATCAACAAAAGTGGAATAAAGGTAAAAAAGATAAGAATGTCAAGATTTCTTCTGATGTTATTTGCTTTGGATGTAGGAAACCTGGACATATGAAAAATCAATGCTCTAATTTGAGAACTCTTCCTGCAAAAGAAAAAGTTAAAGTTAAGCATCTAGTAG